AATATATTCATTAGCAATCTGTCCATGGTTGCCAGTACTGTCTGATGTAGACAAATAGATAATTGTTTCACCTTAAGTTCAAGGCCAGTTGTATAAATGCATCTTTGAATTGAACCCTTTATTTCCTTGTTGTATAATGTTGGTAGGTGAAATGAGCACTTCATATTGTGCTACTAATGTAAATTAAGGCCATGAACTTTGCGGTTGATTTATTTACAGTAATTGCAAGGTTTTTTAAAGCACAGATGATCATCACTGGCTGCATAATACACTGGCACCTTCTAAATATTTTAAATCCCAATCGCAGCATGCAAACTTGGATAGATCAGACTCTGGAAGCTGCATGCTGGCTGCCAGATATTGTGTAGATACCTGTGCTAATTGTGCAACATTGTGAATATGTATCTCATAGAAAACATTGTTCATTATTTACAGATGCAGGTTACTTCACATGAAATAGTGACATTATCACTTTATGGTGGACATTGTTTTTCTTTTTGCTTACAGTATACAGTAGCATCTACTGTTGATGGCAGCTTTTCAAAGTGATCAGTTAAGACTTGATAGATAAATTTTTATATATACAGACTTTTAATTTGATAACTGTCTATTTTCAAACTGTCCATGCACCGATACTGTTGCTGTCCAAACATCATCTCCTTTTACTGCAAACAACTACCTATTTTCATTTTACTTAAAGCATAGCATTGCGTGCTTAAAAGGATTCCATTTAAAACAAAACTGCTTTTTCTGATGATTTTCATAAAAGTTATTGATGATCATGAGTATTGGTATTTTTATTGGCATTGAATACAATATAGATAATATGGTGATTACATGGGTACCTTAAAACGAGGTGTTTAAGTATGTTAGTCTGATTGCATTCGGCAAGAGTCCCCGTGGAGTTAGTGCTCATTTGCTAAGTTGACAAAATTCATTGTGGACATTCCATAAGTGGCTCCTGGTATAGCATTCTTTGTAAAAAGCAATGCAAGCAGCTAAGAACAGTACTATGCCTTGCAAAGATTCCATAGAAGATTTGTTGTAAAATGGAGCCTCCATAGAAGTAAGAACTGGAAGTGAGAAAACTGCATGCAAGGAGCATTTGATGTACATCATTGCCAGATTTTAATTTTAGAAAAATGCAAACACCTGGCTTTTTATAATCATGCAGGTGTCTAAAATTATGGATTATGGTTATAAACAGTATGATTTTTCTGATGGTATAATTAAGGAATAATTCTTGGATTTCTATTTTTTTTAAATTTTTTAAATGAGTTAAAAAATTAAAAAGAGACAAGCAAGCATATGCTGATTTGGCAATTAAGGGAATACAAGTGCATTGAATATATATTTGTGTGGTTATAAAAACTGGTCACAGAATGAAGTGAGTTATTTTGCTGAAGATCAATGATGGTATTCCTGTCTATTTCCCCAGCACAGCTTTTCCTGCAACATCTGTTTTGCTCTAGAATCACTCTGATGTGATTAAATCCCAATAAACATACAATGCGGCTGGCATGGCATTTATGTAGCAGTTTTTAGGGTAACAACTTGGGTTTATACACTTAAATCAATGATATAGACTGATAGAGTTATGCAGTCCTAGGTGTATAATAGTTGGACATAAATGTCTCGCTGAGGGTAGACTACTTGCTGGGCCAACTAAGGTATTATTTTGAGTAAATCATTTCAATTTATTTAAATTTTATATCACAATTTCTGAAAATGAGTTTCACCGGAAAATAAATGATAATTTAATTTCATTCGTAGATAACTTCTTTTCCCCTTTTATTTCTGGATTATTGGTTAGGTAGTAATTAAAAAAAAAAGAAATTGGCTGAAGCTCACTTCTTTATACCTGTGCTAGTAAAATGCCTATAAAGAATTGCTGGGGTTAACAGTTATTGCCTTCAAGGTTCTGGAGTAGAGTGCTGCCAAACATCAGGGGAGATATTACCATTAGCCAATAACATGTATTTCTTGACTCTAGTACCAAGTTTCTTTGAATCATCTTGTTACAGATATCATAAGATTTTATGTTCATTATTTATTTACTTGGTTGTTTAGCTTGCTGGTTGATTGGTTGTTGTACTACTTACATACATGTAGTTAGTTGTTTACTAAGTCGGTATAAAAGTGAACTATTAGCAAAAAGGATGATTTAGCAAACACATGGAGAGTTATATTTATTGGATGATGAATAGATAGAAGGGTAGTATTGGTCAAAATGACCTGAAAAAAATATTGGTATATCCTTTCATAAGATCTCAGTAAAAGTTTTCTACTTTAATTAAAAAAAAACTTCATGAAGGGTGTGGTTAAGTGAATATAATAATTAAATACTAGTAGCTGAAAAGTAATGAACTGCCATGAAAGAAAAACATTGTCCTGGACTAATGCTTGAAAATTGAGCAGTAAGTACAGTGCAGTATACAGAATATTATAGCATTGATTTGTCTACCTTTCAACCTTACATGTCTTCTGAACTATTTTGATGTTTGATGCAGCAAAACCACTTCAGTAGAGTGTACCACCCTTTAGGATACTGTATATCACTGAGTGTTATAGATTTGCCCACAGCACCACATGGTGAAAATAGAAAATGGAGCCTGTTCAGAGATATAAAACATTTAGACCAGACCTGCACAAATACAGTTTTGAAAGTTGAGGACACTGTGATTATTATGTTGACCAGCTGTTACTTAATTATAAACGAGTGAGGAAAAATGAATTACCATTATAGCTGTATGTAATGCTTTTGTGTGTGTGTGTGTGTGTAGAATGTAGTTTTATCCTTATGCCTGCATGGAATGTTTTGCCAGTAGAATGCTCAGTAGGACGATACTGTTGCTGCAGGCCTCAGGTTGCTAATGGAAAGGAAAAGGACACCTTGTTGAAGTCAGGTTAAATGTAGCACTCGGGTGACAGATGTGTGAAAATGTCATTGTTGAAACATAAGGTTACATGCCATTTACTGAAAAAAGTGAGGTAATTTCCCATTTTGAAAAGAAAAAATTTCCAAATGATAAATGTTACAAATTTATTATTTAACTATAAGATTACATTTATGATTTAGACCATAAAATTTGTTGGCACAGTTTTAAAGATAAAATTTCTGCTATTTGACCAGTAGATATATGTAGAGACAATGGGAGTTATTATGCACTATCAGGAAACATGTCTAAGAGATAAAGGTGACTTGAAACTTTTTTGTACAAAAACAGGAAAAAAAAATAAATAAAAGATTTATTGTTTGAAAACTTACCAGGTGATTTTTTCTTCAAAATTACTCATCTGATCAAACTAATGGGAATTTTAGCAGTTGTTAGAGATTGATTTTCTATCATTAAAAGATTTCCTAACCTGGCTAGTTGGTTTTAATTTGAACTAGTAGTATTTGATCTTTTAGTCCAAGCAAACCAAATGCCCTTTTTTCCAAGCGATGAAATTCGAATTGAGGAACCACCTACCAAGAAGGAATACTTTCACCTTTATATGCTTGGTGATATTTAATGTATTTCCCTCAAAGTGTTTGGTTGCTTGTTTCTTCCTTGGCAAAAGTCACGTTTTGTCCACAAATAAATCCTGTGAAGTCCTCATTTTTATTCCCATGTGTAATCTTGGTTGTTATTACTATTAGTCTATAGTTTTATGTGTGTGTAGTGTACTGGTCTAATCCGCCCATTTCCCACTGTCTGATCTATAGCCAATCAGCTGTATACCCCCACCCCACCTTGTTGATCATTTGTCAATTTGCTTTATTGATTGTGTTCTCTGTTAGTTTATATAAAAATACCTGCCTCATTACTAATTATCATCAAATAGTGCCAAGTTTTTCTTTTAAAGTACTCAATTTCAAGATACTATTTAATTTGTCAGATAAAAATATTGGACATGTTTAAGCATCAGGTATGGTGTCACTGTCAGACAAAGTTCAAATGGGGACTTTACGCCAAAAAAAAAAAAAAAACAACTTCACTTGCAATATCAAATGGTGTGATTGATTGGGCAGATTTGGTTGTCTGAATAACAGTGGGGTCTCTCAGCATCCTCTTTACCTGAAGTTGCTACCTTCCAATCCTAATCAATCCAGGTCTTAGCAGATCTCTGTACCGTATTGGTTACTATCTGGGTCAGAAGCAATTTTTTGAAAAAAAATTTACAGATATTTGAAATTTATTATTGTTGTTTATTAGTGTAAATTTAAAATCTACAAATTCAAATAAGAGGCAAAGTGCGATTTTTTCCACAGATAGCTATAGTTTTGCCACCACCACCCTCCGCAATTAAAAAAAACATTCTGTTGATAACCAGCTTTAGTGTAGGTCCCTTATCCAACCTCAGCAATCATTTCAAATGCATGGATTATCACAGAGACATTATCAGAGAATGGTGACTTGCTGCCTGTATCCTGATGTCAGCTCATTAGATCTGTCATCCCAAGAGAACATGCTGAGGTCCCTAGCCAGTTTTAGTGGAGGGATGATAAGAAACTTCATTTTCTCTTATCTTTAATGTTCAAAGCTTTTGCGTGAAGTTCCATTGGGTATAGTCTTGCGTGATATTATCCGAAAAAAATCTGTTTCACCAGTTCAGTTTTACAGGCTGGTCATTATTGATTTCAAATGACTTTGGAATCTAAACTAGAATTGGATGGCTCTGATACTTTAAAAGAGACTTAAATTGTAGATCTGTAATGTTTCATATTAGCTCAGTATCTTTCCTATGCTTCTGCTAAGAAAGATGTAGAGGACAATGTTGCACCTACCGACAACTGAGTAGTAGTAGTAGTAACTTGGGCTTAAGCAAATATCTTTATTAATTTAGGAGTAGTCATATTGTATGATTGGTTAATAGTATACTCATTTATAATTACATTTCTGTTGTCATTTTTATCTACCTGGGTACATGCATACGTTACAATGAATAAACTAACTCTTATATCTCTTATCATAATATGCATTTTGTTCAATGATGATTTCCAATTCCTGTTGTAGGCTGCCCCAGTGAAGATAAGGAATGCAACAAGGACAAGCTGGGATTTGATGCAATCTCACTGCTCCATGGCAAGCTGGATGATGACAAGAATGGCAATGTGGACCTGTCTGAGAGTGATGAGGTAAT